GATTGTTAAACTTTTATTTGTCTTGTGTATTCTTTCGAAGATTGCTCAAGTGGCTATGGGACTCAGTGCCGCTATTAAATCTATTGTGTCTTAATGAAACTAATTGAGCCTAATTTTTAAGACGGTTTTATTACTTTTAAATGGACAAAACATTTATAATTCTTCGCATTTCGCAGCAATGACCTCTAAATTTAGAATTTTCGAAACTATTAATATGCGGCTAACTTACGTTTTACTGACATATTTCGCTTTATTAAGTGTTACCAGCACACAATAACTGATAATTACAAAACTTATTTAGAACTAATCTTCAGAACGTAGTTATTAGATATATGTTCCCATATATTTTGTGAGATGCCGATATATTTGCAATGGTTTATATGTTGTGATGCACACAGTACCGCAGCCGCATTACTTACAGTAACTTTTTATCCGCAGATGCTTCGAAAATACACTAGGACATCAACACGGGCAACTTCGTACAAACAAGAATCCCTGGAATTTCACTATTCAAGGAATAAAAAACTCATTTGATAACGTTAATCTCATCTCATTAGATAAAGTTTAGAAGTAATTCAGTTTCACGGGAAACTTTCACCCCACGTTCCTTTTCCTGGTCTAGTCCACTCTGCTTTACTTTTTCTGACTTCATGCCCATATTCTGATACTAATTAACCCTACAAATAGGCTCACGCCTGGTCATTGACACACACACACACACACACACACATACACGCAAATCTGTACTCCTGTTTTTTAAATAAAAATTTCTTACCTAGTAAAAAAAATCAAATGCATCCGATCTTTCCCTTATATTGAATAATTCCATCTTATGTCATAAAAAAGTTTGAGAAACACAAAATTGCAATTACATTTATGTTTATAGTAATTTATAGATCATATTGAAATATGTTTTTGAGCGTAAAGATAGGACAAATTCCTTTATTAACTTTGATCTCTAAGCAGTACAAATGGCTTTCAATTTAAGTCCCGTCTTACCCCTTGTTGGCAAGTTCTTCATCATGCAAACAAAAAGTATGCCTTTTCTTCGCACACGTTAAAAGCAGAAACCGTTGAACTTACAAAAGCAAAAGATTCTCATAGCTAAACTACGTTTAACCATTAAAGATTTAGGCCATGTTCCAGAAATCTGACGTATACGGATGTCGAGAAAATAAAGTTTTTGCAAGACTCTTTCAACTAATCGAAAATTCATCCGGTGTTACCGCAACGCACTACGAGTACTGAACATAAGTTCACCAAAGACGTATTTCGTCGTAGGTATTATATCTGTACACTTAATAGTAACAATTATTAGGATATGTTGACGTTCATAAGGGCTTTGTTTAAAGTCTACATGAAAAAAAACATAACTGAATACATCAGAGTAATAAACATATCTACACGATGGATAAAAAGCACGACTCTATCCTTGTTAACATTTCATTTAAGTAAATTTTTTATTAGCGATGAATCGAACCAGGTATTTGCTTTATTTAACCTTTGAATAAAGTGGCTAGGTGCTGACAAGTGCAGTGGAAAAATAGTAGGTTAAGTAGATAAGTTAGGTATTTAGACAAGTGTTGTAAATTATTAGGTATTGGTACGATCGCTTGCTGCGGACCGCGCGAATTTTGGCGTGAATACAACGCGAATATTGACCCTATTGTCAGCTGATTTTATAAGTTCCACTGCTGGTTTTATGTTTAAGTATTTTCTATTTGATTTATTTTTAGTTAATATTGGGAACACGCTGCTGTCTATCTCCAGGTTTGTTTCCTATACCGTCACTAACCGGTCAATTAGATTAACACTAAGAAAACGTTAATGAATAATATTATTAATAAAATAATATTAGCTGGGCATAGCAACGTGTAAAAATTATTTGAAATATTTTTTTTATAAAACAAATTCGACTGATCTACTCGTACTTGAAATGTTTGTAAAGGATGGTAAAAATTTACTTGAAATAGATCATTTTATCACGATGTGTACTTAGGACGTAAGTGGAGAGTTCCAAAAAAACAAAATTTACGACGTAAAGATTAATGAGCGTTATCTTATTGCTTGTGTACTTTATTGTTTAATAATTTGTTGTGAAAATTGAGAACTTTGTATCAAGAAAAACTACATAGATAACTGGTATTTCTCATCAGCGGGGAATGAAAATCAATTCCGAATTTCGGTACGATTCGTTGTTTAGGTTCTGAAAGAGATTTTCGGTTCTGTTTTTGATTTTGATTTAGGTACCTGTTTAATGTTTTACTATGATATCTAAGCATTATGTAGGACATTATGGAAGGACACTTTTTTATCTTTGAGTGTATCTAGTTAGGTACTACCCTGTCACCTATATTTAAGTGTATACTATGTGTAGAGCCAGTACTATTACAGACTGAGGCACTTCAAGTTAACCCTTAGTATTGACAGTTAAACGTGGTAGAGCCATGCTGCAGCTATATTAGTAGTATAGTTGTAGCACGAATGGGTCGGCTTGAACGGGGAAGGACCACGCTCTCACAGAATACCAGCGTAAAATAGCTGCTTAACACTGCTGTGTTTCGTATGATGAGTGTAGAGAACCGGATACTCTTTTTACTGGAAAAGAGGCATACCATCTTAGTCCTCACAGGTGACAACGCATCTGCATTTTGATTCGCAAACGAAGATAGATGTAGATGTCTATGGGCCACAACAACCACTTACCATCAGGTGGACTGTGTGCCCGTTTGACACTCTATCCTATAAAAAAAAAACAACGCATCTTTCAGGGCAAAGAAAATTAGTGCACGACTGTCACCCTGAAGGAATGATGAAATCTATAAGTAATTGTATAAGTATTTATTTCACTGGTTAACAGGCATAATTCACCATCTTAGGTTACATCACCACTTACCTGATGGTAATATAATCCCACCTGATGGTGGGATTATAGTTAAGCGCTGGCTTAGAATAATATTAAAAAACGGGTGGTACTTACCCAGATGGACTCCCAGGATATGTTTATTTCAAACATGTATAGTGTAGGTACACCGAGTTATCAAGGTTGAGGTAACGAATAAAACCCCTGCTATTTCTCAATCAGTCGCATACCACAATAAAATAATAACAATAAATAAAAAAAACTTCTCACGTCTCTGCTGACCCGCCCTACCTTTCTAACTGCAGCTTCTATGACAGTGTGCCCACAGACTTTGACTTATTTTTGATTTACCTTAAGATGTAAGTCAGGCCTTCCTCCATTCAATTTAATTACACCCCTTCACATGTCTGCTACTGAAAAAGGCTTTCTCCACGGAATGCCACAAAATATTTTCTTGAATCACTTGCATCCATCTATCTCCCGTATGTCTTACCAGTGTCATTACTTTATCTAGTGGGAGCAATACACTTCGATGACTGTTGCGGGGTTGCCACTCGCGAATCTTTCTTCTCCGTCGTTTTTTGGTTTTAAGAACTATAAGGAATTAAAAAGCCTGACCTTGAAAATGCCAGACGCCTTATCAGTAAGTGGTCATTGACTAAGCGCTCGCTGTAAATGTCATAGTACGCGAGCAACCCGGGTTCGTTTAATGCCGACACTAATGAAATTGTTTATTGCAATTTAAGTGCTGATTTATCACGTGCTCGACGAAATAAAATATCGTGGGGAAGCCCGCGTGTCTGAAAATTTAAAAAAAATATCGAAGACGTGAAGTTCGCCAACACGCATTAGGGCAGCGCGGTTGACTGTGAAACTCCAAATTCAATTTGTGATATGGATAAACACTTGAACTAGTTTCACAATATACATTTTAAATTATTATTGTAATAGTTATAAAAACCGACCGGTTTCGCCTCACGGCATCATCCGGGTAGATACTCGTACAATTACGAACATATGCAAACATACCCGCAATAAATGTTCACTATATAGTATAATAATAATCCAATCCACCTCCATTGCCCTAATATCCTCTCAGAAATGAGAGAAGGCTTGTTTATATAGTTTGTAACTGTTTTTACTTTTATCACAATGTATTGTAAACGAAAAATGTCCTAGAGCGTTTCGCCTGTAACTTTTCAAAAGGCAATAAAACTCATTCAATAGGCTATCCGAGCTAGCGACATCCGACTAGATGTCTTCGGCTTCAAGCCTCGAGTTTGAATCAAACATAAATGTTCTTGGAGATCTGCCAAATGTTTTGCGTTTGACAATTTATTGAAATTTACAGCTTAGAGAGTTTTTATTATATTCATCTCATGCTTACGTGAGCTGTTGACACAACGACCACGCTCCCACAGAATACCAGCATAAAATGTACGTGGTAAAGCCACGGTGCAACTATATTATGGTTGTAACATGAATACGAGTAGGTCGGCTACACCGGGGTACCACGCTCCCATAGAATACCAGTATAAAATGTACGTGGTAAAGCCACGCTGCAACTATATTATGGTTGTAGCATGAATAGGTTGGCTCCACCGGGGTACCATGCTCTCACAGAGTACCAGCGTAAAATAGCAGTTTACTGCTGTTGTGCTTTGTATCCCTTTCGGTCCCAGTACTCACAATTGTGACGGTGACTTTGTCAATTTTTATAAAATTAAACAATAGCCGTGAGTTGACGGGGACAGCGTCACACGATCGTGCGTGTAGTTCGGTTTATTATGACAAAGAGCAGTGGAATTAAATTACAATAATTTTGACTCAGTCGCCATTTGCCGCCTAGCAACAGACACGTGTTACGCGCCAAAATTAAACATACCTGTTTGTCACGTAAAAGTAAGTAAAAACTATAATGTTATTGCAATAATTCAATTGAAAAAAGCTAAATTCTCGATAAATTATGTTTTTATTCGTCCTTTCGCGTTTTTAGTTTGTCTTTTTCGACTTTACTTTTAGATGTCACAATCGTGAGGGTTCGGGCCCAACGTTGGTCGGATTAGTGATTATTTATACCAATTATTTTATGTTAAAAACCCTCTTGTTTACTTTTCAGCCTATTTGATACATCGTTATGGATAGAAATAACTTGGCTTTTGACCCTGATGCTATAATGGATCAACTGGCTGACTCGGATTTGGGCGAGGACTTTGACGACGATAATGATTGGCATCCACCTGATCAGCTAACTAATTCTAGCTCGGATAACGAAGACGAGCAAGAAGCAAGAAATTCAACAGTAGCAAGTCCATCATCGTCGAATAAATGGATTCGCAGACGATTCGTCGGTAAACCCATGCCTACACTGATCTCGGAGCCGACGGAAGAAGTACTTACTCCAAGTGAATACTTTGATAGGTACTTTACTGAAGAAATTTACGAGTTATTTGCTTTTAACACGAATGTTTATTATCAGTCGAGTTTTAACAAACAACTTAATCCTCCGGTTACTGCGACAGAAATTAAAAAGTTTTTTGGTATTAATGGAATCCTGGGCTGCATTAGATATCCTAGAATCAAGATGGTGTGGATGCAACGATTTAGACTATCTTGTATTGCAGAGGCAATGGCTCGTGAAAGATTCTTTCTTCTCAGAGTAAACTTACACATAGTAGATAAGGGATCTGTATCACCTGAAATACAAACTCAGAACAAACTGTGGCTTATCCAGCCACTGATAGATGCTGTAAGGGGCAGATGCTTACAGATACCTAGAGATCAATCTCACTTTTCAATAGATGAACAAATGGTGCCATTCCTCGGTAAGTGTCCTGTCAGACAATTTGTGAAAGGCAAACCGAGACCAGTGGGCCTTAAAAATTATGTCGTGACATCATCGAAAGGATTAGTGTTAGATTTTGAGCTCCATCAAGGCGACACCACTCCACTTTCAGACAGATCTTTGGGCCTTGGACCCGCTATAGTTTTACGTTTAATAAATACCCTGCCCAGAGGAAGTTTCGTCTATTTTGATAGATATTTTACGACCATTCCATTACTTGAGAAGATGTTAACGCTTGGAATTGAAGGCACTGGAACAATAATAACCAATAGATTTAAAGGATACCAGTTTCCCAAAGACTCTTCAATGAATCGGGGTGATTATCACGAGGTTGTTAACAATAAAAAAGATATCTGTGTCATTAAATGGAAAGACTCCAAAACAGTATTAACTTGTTCAACTGCTATTGGAGCCCTGCCATTGCATAAGGTCCAGCGTTACGATAAAGTTACAAAATCATACATCGAAGTAACTTGCCCTGATATGATTAAAAATTACAACGAACATATGGGAGGTGTAGACGTCAGCGACCAAATGATGGAGGTCTACAGATCATGGCATAAAACTCGCAGATGGCCAATCAAGTTAATAATGCATTTGTTTGACTTGGCCATGGTGAACTCGTGGTACGAGTATCGCCAATCATGTGATAGAAATAAAGTCAAGAACTCTAATATCATGGATTTTCTGGACTTTAAAATATGCGTATCTGATTTTCTACTTGGCGGCTCAACGAAAAAACGCACCCGAGAAGAATTCGAAGAAATGGCAAAGATGCCTTCAACATCCCACTATCAACCAGCACCTATTCCAACTATAGATAAACGTCTCGATGGGTATAACCATTGGCCCGTATGTGATTCTCTAAAAGCTCCTCGCTGTTGCCGAGTGACAGGTTGTACAAGCCGTTCAAAAGTAAGATGCACAAAATGCAATGTTTATCTTTGTAGTACTAAAGATAAGCATTGTTTCTACGTTTTCCACAATGAAAAATAATTTTTTTTAATATAATATAAGTCTATTCCTTCTAGTAATTATAAGCAGATGATCTCGATTGTGTGCCTTTTTCCTAGTTCTTAATAAGATTTTTATTGTATCTAATTACTCCAAAAATAGAGGTTAAAAGAAGCGTTATATTTTTGTTACTTATTAACAATAAGAAATTAAGTTAATATTGATTATAAAATAAATAATTAGTCCTAATTTTTAATTTTATTTGAATATTGTTATTACTCTCACGATCGTGAGGGTAGCTATAGTTGGGCCCGACATAGTACGATCGTGAGTATCGTGGAAAACAGTTTTCCCATTTTCCCAGATTTTTTAAGACCCCTTTTTTGTAATCTACGCATGTTATTTGCCCCAAATCAGTTCTGTAATATTCGTTAAGTAGCGCCGTCACGGCACGGGTCTGAAAGGGGTATGGTAAGTGTAGAGAACTGGAGACCCTTTTTATTGGAAACGAGGCATTCCATCTTAGTCCTCAGAGGTTACAAGGCATCTGCATTTTGATTCTTAATCGAGGATAAACGTAAATGTCTATGGGCCATAGCATTCACCATCAGGTAAACTGTGTGCTCGTTTTTCGCCCTTATTCTATAACAAAAACTCTGGTTCGATCCTCGCTAGCATCAATTGCAATATAGTAAATATTATACACCGATCACAGAATAACAGCTTAACAGTTTCCCTGTTAGCGATATATTTTTTTTATATATTTATTTATCCGTTATTGCAACACACCAAGTAGGGGTTACTAAGAGCGAACGTAATGCCCTATGACCTATAGCATTTTCTAGCAGTCAAACCTACGAAAGATGGAATAAATAAAGATGTTGGCAGGTGGTTGTAAAAAATAACTTAAAAAGAAAAACAGTTCAACTATATTAAATACATTATGCAATACAAAACTACCTAATTGCAGTACATAAATACAGTACACAAAAAATCCATCAATTATATATAAGAGGAAAATAACCTGAACTATGAAGAAATTTAAAAATTTAGTTCCATGTTCTGGAATCCTAACTTTAAGTGCGTTAGAAGAACGAGGTTCACGGCCACCAATAGAGTAGAAAAAGTTGAAGTTTTCTTTAAGATAAGGCGGAGAATTAGCATCATTTAAGATGGAAAGAATGACGGTAAATTCTAGAGCAACGCCTTTGACGTACAGTGAGTCATTTAAGCTTAGAACGCTAGGCAGAGATATGGCCGTATTTACGTGAATTAACAACAAATCTTATACAATCTATTGAGAAGGCGCTCCACACAAGGCGATTGCACACATCAGCATAATCAATAATGGGAGGAGTGAGGGAATTATCCAACATAAGCTTAGTTTTGAAGGGCAAGATATTTTTCAGACAATACAGGGAAGGCAGGGCATCAACAATTTTATGGCTTATTTCAGAAATTTGTAGTCCCCAGTTCATAGTTTAATCTATATGCAATCCGAGATTAACTATTGATTCATTGGAAGGGATCAATAACCTATTGTAAACCACAGGTTCGAGGTTTCTAAAGTTGATCTTAGCCAGTATCCTTAAACTACCTACAATCATCGCTTTGCATTTCAACGGATTTACCGAGATAACATGCCCGTATGACCAAACTCAGATAGAACCAAGATCATTGTTCAGCAGTCTTATGACGTTATTGATGTCATTGATACTAGGTTGTACGTATAGTTGAAGGTCACCTGCATTCAGACGATATTGAACTATACGTACGTGACCTCATATAGACACAACAATCAAACAATCAAAATGTTCATATACAGGGAAATGGTAAAATTAGTAGCTTTATGCTGCTGTTTCGAATGATGTGTATAGAGAACTTTTCTCTATCATGTGACAACTCATCTGCATTTTAATTCCTATACGAGGATTGGTGAAGGCCTCTATGGGTCTCAGCATCCACCTGCCATGAGGTAGGCCATATGGTGTTCATTTGTCACCATTTATTCTTCAAAAAACTTTATATGTAGAACATCGGAACCCTAAAAAGTAACTGATATTATAGAACACAAATTAACTAGGAGATTCTAACGAATAATAAAAAGTTTTTCATTTATTGTGGCATTGTATATAAGTCTTTCCAGAAATAATGTTACAGTATTTTTTCTAATCTGTAAAGCCCTGAGGATATACAAAGTGTAAAAGTGTCGCCAACTCGTCGGAGATTTAAGGTATGGGTTTATAATAGTTTATAGATCTAACAATGTTTAGGATGCACTAACTCTTTATTTCAAAGGGGCGTATACGGTTGGGTTTGACACCCAAAAAGTATCAGATGCTGTCTGTGGCTTCCCCGTAGCTGTTCAATCTGTTCAAAAATAGTTGCTTGGAAACTTTGAATTAAACGTCAAACACTCTTTGTACGCCGATGAGCAAGACATATTTGTGTCATCGGCGAGCGAGTTACAAACGTTGGTAAAATACAGGGGAATGAAAGTGCGTGCAGGTAAGAAATAAGACATTTCATCTTATCCCTCAGGGATAAAAATGCATCTTAATTTTAATTCTTAATCGAGGATAGACTGTGTGCTCGTTGCCACCAAAGTTGCCACATTTATTCTGTAAAAATATAACGTTCATCATCATCATCATGATTACTGCCTATCAAAATTTTACTGGTGAACGTAGGCCTTGCTTATATAGGCCTCACTTATAGATTACGTAACAGGGAAAATATTAGTCGTAACTACCACTCTTGGGTTGGGTTGGCAAATGCAGTTTTGGAACGAAGTTCCTTATCGGACGGTACTGGTTTAGCGGATGGAAGCTAGGCGACAAAAAGTGTAAGAGTTTTTCATCACTATTCCCTGTGTCATAGTGTAGACGGCCTTGGCGGCGAAATAAGGAAGTGAGATGGAATAATATCCATCTCCCTCGCACTTTTTCTTATCTTGCCATGAAAGAAATATTGTTTTATTTCAAATGACGCTTCATTTTAATAGACGCTAGTACATAATTCATTTATTTGTATTTGTTAATCAATAATGTAATACCTAAGTTTATCAATAATAATATATTGCGCAAGGAACTACGTTCCAACCGAGTGTTCCACGACACTCCTGCATTTTTTTATAATTTTGATATATTAATTATCTGAAAGGTGAAAGGTCTCTTGTTCAATTTCCTTTCGCTGCTTCCCTACCGGCCTAGGTTGACAATGTCTGACTACAATATAATGGGTTGAACTCTTGTAAATTTCTTGTTTTACCAAAATATCATCTGTAATTCCAGATATCTGACTAGAAATAAACTGAGTTTAGAACTAACTGCATCGAATTATTCTCTGTCATCGCTAAAGGCACTTAAATATATGGCTTTTAAACCTTCTGCCTTAAGTTTGGTAAAAGTACAGTTTGGAAATCGCTTAGTGACTTGAGATATGTCATTTCAAAAAAATATTATTATTTATTATGTGACATCACATTTCTTCTTTTTTATTAGTTTGTAAAATTCCATTGTAATGTTTATTTATTTAATTTTTATCGAATCTTACAGTTTTTGGAATGAAGTTCCTTATCGCACGATACGAATTTATCGAATGGGGGCTAGGTGAGTAAAAGTGTAAGATTTTTCCGTCACGACCACTTTTGACGTAGTCTACACTTGACCTTGACAGTTACAAGGAAGCGAGATGGAATAATATTCATCTCTCTCGCATTATTTCTTATCTTGCCACGAAAGAAATATTATTTTATATCACGCACACATTTGACACTTCATTTTAAAAGACGTTAATATTTCATTTGTTTGTATTTGTTAATCAATAATATAATACGTTTAAAAGCTTTTACGAAAATTTACTTCGCAAATATCCGCGTTATAAAATTAAATAATGTGTCTTACCTAGTATGAAGAGCACCTCCCGTCCTCCCTAATCTTGCGGTGAGCCACCGTAGAGTCTATAGAGGATGCCCCGTGTAGAGGCGAAACACGTGTCGTATTATCGTCAGTGGTGTGTCTTGCCTAGTGTAGTGGTGTTGGGAGTAGCGGTGCTGGGATTAGTGGTGACGGGGATAGTGCACGCAATTGAGGGAGGGCGGGAGGTGCTCTTCATACTAGGTAAAACACATCATTTTATAACGCGGATATTTGCGAAGTAAATTTTTCTAAAAGCTTTTATATAATGGATTTCCGCAAAGTAACGCCTGATTCTATTAATTATATAATACGTTTATCAATAACAATATACTACGAAAGGAACTTCGTTCCAACCGAGTGTCCCACGACACCCACACGTGTTTTTTATTACTTTCAATTGTTATCGGAAAGATGCCGCTATCCATCTCCTGTTTCATTTCCCCTATGTCACCTCTTACGACCATAATTATGCACGACACTTACGAACATTTAAATACAAGTCAACAACACCCTTTCTTACAAATTAATGTGGAGTTGTCTATTTTTAAAGGGTATAACCATCTAGTAATTATATTGTCCTTTTTATTACCTAATCCTAATTTGAGCAAGATGGCTTAAAAAAACTAACCAGAGAGTATGCTTACTTATATTGATTTAATTTGAATTTTCAGGAGACATGCTGACTGTAGCAGTGGCAACGGCTTATTTATTTTAGTTTGATGGTGTAAACGCCAGATCTAAGAAGAGGAAAAAAATGTGTTTTAAATTAGCCGATTAATTATCATTACGTACACATACTTGTGACTTGTGAACACCTTTTGTCCCAAATTAATATATAATCCAAAAACACATTTATTCGTTTAAAATTATTCATAGTTTCCAAATGAATGTCTGATAAATTATAATTATTATCAAAAAAAGTGAAATATCAATTTTTGTTTTATTAGACTGTCCCATAAATATTGCTTTCAGCATTTTATGCACAAATACACTGTGTTTCTCGATAGTGATTCTGTTCAGATGTCAATTATTGGTGAGCAACAATTGACCATCTTGAAGGAAACTATCGAGAAACGCTCTGAACTTTTTCTTGTTTTCTTTATTATAGGATAAGGGTGACAA